AAATCTACAGGAACTAATTGAGAGATTTAGCATTGTGGCAGGATACAAGATCAACATCCAAAAATCAATTGGATTCCTCTACATCAGCAAAGAGACTGCTGAAAAAGAAATAAGGAAATCAATACCGTTTACAATAGCTACCAAAAAAATAAAATACTTGGGAATAAATCTTACCAGGGACACAAAAACCTGAAAAAAAAAAAAACCTAGAAAACACTACTTCAGAAAACCATAAAAGATCTACACAAATGGAAGAACATCCCATGATTGTGGATAGGAAGATTGAACATTGTGAAAATGTCAGTTCTATCCAAAGCAATCTATACATCCAATGCAATCCCAATCTATATCCCATCAACATTTTTTAGGGATATGGAAAAACTAATCACTAACTTTATATGTAAAGGAAAGAGACCTCGGATAAGCAAAGCATTATTGAAGAAGAAGAACAAAGTAGGAGGTCTCACACTCCCAGATCTCAAAACCTACTACACAGCCACAGTAGTCAAAACTGCCTGGTACTGGTACAATGACAGATACATGTTGTTGTTGTTGTTGTTTGCCGTCCAGTTGGACCCAACTCATAGTGACCCCTCCTTGGGTTTCCGAGGCAGTATCACTATGGAAGTAGATTGCCCAACCTTCCTTTCGAGGAGTAGGCACTACACCACCAGAGCTCCTGACAGATACATAGACCAATGTAACAGAATTGAGAACCCAGAGATAGATCCATCAGCCTATGGACAGCTGATCTTTGACAAAAGGCCAAAATCCATTAAGTGGGGAAGTGATTGTCTTTTAATAAATGGTGCTGACAAAACTGGATATCCATTTGCAGAAAAAATGAAACAAGATCTGTATCTCACACCATACACAAAACCTAACGCCAGATGGATCAAAGCCTTAAATGTGAAACCTAAAACTATAAAGTTCCTCAAGGAAAATCTAGGGGCAAATTTACGAGCCCGGTTCAAACCCACTAGCCACTCCTCTACTTCTGTAGTGATGTTGTTGTTGTTGTTGTTGTTGTTATGTGCCGTCGAGTCGGCCCCGACTCATAGCGACCCCTCCTTGGGTTTCCGAGGCAGTATCACTACGGAAGTAGGATTGCCCAACCTTCCTTCCGAGGAGTGGCTGGTGGGTTTGAACCGCCAGCCTTCTGGTTAGCAGTCAAGTGCTTTAGCCACTATGCTACCAGAACTCCTATACCGCCTCGCAAACCCAAGGAGGGGTCACTATCAGTCAGATGTGACTGGACAACAGTGAATTTGGTTTTGTTTGTTTGTTTGTTTGAATATATTGCAGAAATAGACTATCAAGCACAACCCAAAACTATGAACAGCAGAACATAAACTAGATGAATGGGACCTTCTAAAAATTAAATTTTTATGTGCTTCCAAAGACTTCTCCAAAAGAGTCAAAAGAGAATCTACAGATTGAGAAAAAATATTTGGCAACAGCATATCTGACAAGGGACTTAGCTTCAAAATGTATAGAATATTCCACACCTCAACAACAAAAAGACAAATAATCTAATTTAAAAATGGGCAGAAGACATGAATAGACACTTCACCAAGAAGGATATTCAGGCAGCCACCAAACACATGAAGAAATGTTCATGATCATTAGCCATTAGAGAGACGCAAATCAAAACAACAATGAGATACCATCTTGCCCCAGCACTAGGAGCAAAGTTCAACAAGAGAGAAAATAACAAATGCTGGCGAGGATGTGAAGAGATTAGGACTCTCCTACACTGCTGGTGGTACTGTCCAATGGTACAACCACTGTGGAAAGCAGTATGGCACTCCCCTAAAAAGTTGGAATAGAAATACTATTTGACCCAGCCATTCCATTACTAGGTATATATCCTAAATAAGTGAGAGCCAGGACAAGAAGAGACATATGCACTCCCATCATCATGTAAATAGTTCATCACAGCACTACTTATAATAGCAAAAAGATGGAAAAAAAACCTGTTTGCCCATCAACAGAAGAATAGATAACCAACCTATGGTACACACACTATGGAATACCATGCAATCCTAAAGAATAACATTGAATTGGCAAAACACCATATAACATGGATGAACTTGGAAGACATTATGCTGCATGAAATAAGTCAATAACAGAAGGACAAATATTGCATTAGTCTGTTATTGTAAAAATTCATGGAAAGGTTTATACGTGTAATGAAATTTTCTTTGTTGGTTACCAAGGGTGGGAGGGGAGGGGAGGGAACACTGCTAGATAGGTAGAGACAAGTATTGATTTGGGTGAAGGGAAGAGCAATGTACGAAATGTGAGTGATCAACACAGTGGCACTGAGGAAGAGGAAGACATAGAAAGGTGCATGGGAGGTACAGACAACAAAGACCAACCCTTTGCACATAGAGTACTGTGCCATCAGTGATGGCAATCATTGACATACAGGTGGATAGATGGGTGAACAAGCGAAATGATTAGGTATGTCTATGCAAGGGGTAGTGTGCCCAAGACCATGCATATGGTTGGCAAACAATATTTCTACAAGTGTATTTGTATGTTCTGTAAGAATTTCCAGGTACGTAGTAGATCTGACAAGGGACAAGGCTGTAGTTTCTTCTTGGGCACAGCCAGCTTCCCAGAAGGAGTGAGCAGTTGGACCTGTGGGCTCGGAACCATGGTTGCAGGGGACATCAAGTTCAACTGGCATAACATACTACACAAAAACATCATTCCACATCCTACTCTGGTGAGTAGCGACTGGGATCTTAAAAGCTTGCAAGTGGTCATCTAGATGCAATGATGGGTTTCTCATCATCCAGAACAATGAAGAATGAAGAAAACCAAAGACACATGGAAACAATTAGTCCAAGGGACTGGTACAGCACGCAATCCTCAGTCTATACAACTGTGAGACCAGAAGAACTTAATGGTGCCCAGCTACCACTGTCAACCACTCAGAGGGCAATCCATGTAGGAGATCCTGGGTAGAGTGGGAGAACAATGTGGAACAAAACTCAAAATCATTAAAAGAGAGAGAGAGACCAGGTTTGCTGATCTGATAGAGCCTGGTGGAACCGCTGAGACTGTGGACCCTACCTGGTTTTCAGGTCTGGAATTGAACCCACTCCTGTGGCTTTCCAGCCAAACAAAAGACAGACATCTGAGGTGAACATTTACATTAGGTAGATACACTCCTTGGAGAGATCAATCATGGGAGAATAGAAGGGCTGTGTATGCACAGGCAGACAGGTCAGGAGGCAGGAATGCATGGTAGGGAAGGACATAGGGAAGAGGTAACTATGGGGAGGAAGTGGGAGGGGAGCTGTTGCATTGTGGAAAATAACAGTCAATGCCATGACACAAAGTGTATGTTAACTGCTGTATGGAAAATGAATTTGCTCTGTAAACTTTCACCCAAATCACAATAAATTTTTTTTAAAAAATGAATTACTGATGATATTTTCTATCAATTCTGGCTCTGTGTTTGCAAGATGCCATTCATTCCTTTGGAAATGAAAGGAGGATCATTTCCAGCTCTGGGAAAAAAAAAAAAAAAAATGAGTAATATCACTCACTCAGAACACTGGCAGTGAAACTGAGGACACAATAATAAATCAATATATAAAACATTACCATATACTCACCATTATTCCTAGTTGATCACAGAGTTCATAGAATTCATCCTGCTCATAAATTCCTCCTCCCCAAACCCGGAGACTATTCATGTTTGCATCCACAACAGACTGCAAAAGGAGTCGTAACCTACAGAAGAAAAGAAACTTTAAACTACCTGATTTGAAATTTTAAAAACAAATCCTAATTTTAAAAATTTAGGATATTAAACAATAGATTTAAAAACAAATTTTAGTGCATAATCACATTTTAAATCTCTGGTAGGTAAACATACTTTAAAGGAACAATGGTTAGGATATTATGTTAAGTGGAGAACATGAGACAAAATTATTTACACATCAACTGTAACCATATAAAACACACAAACTTAGAAAAATTGAGTGATATCTTTTGTCTGCTTTCTAAATTTTCAGTAAAGTTATACTATTTAAAAAACTAAATATTTGTTTTAAAGTTATTCCTATAGAAAAATATAATTGTAAATCTAAGAGAGTATACAATGATTTTATAAAACCATTTCAAAATATAAGGAAAAAAAAGTCAAAGCTTGAATATTAAAACCTAGCTCACCCTTATCCTTTTTAACAATTCCTCCAGCCCAGTACTTTTTCCACTGGTAAATTTCCTTGCTACATTTCCCAATTCTTATTCACATTTCCCTCAGAAAAATCTAGAAATTTACAACCACTTTGACCATATGTAGCCTCCATCCCTCAGAACACTGCCCAGGAATGAATCAGGAGCCAAATAAAAGGCTGGTCAGGAACGCAGAGCTTTGTGTTCTCAGTGAAACACCTGTGAGTAGCTTCACTAATAGACCCAATTTTTATTGTTGTTGTAAGATACCATCAAGTCAGTTCTGACTAATAGCAACCCAGTGTACAACAAAAATGAACACTGCCCAGTCCTGTATCATCCTCACAAACAATGCTATGTGTAGTAGTTAAGTTCATGTATCAACTTGGCTGGGCCTGGCTGAGTGGCTGGGCAGCTGGTGGTAGTTATTCCCCATGGTGAGACAGGTAATTAACTCCATGGTGGAACGTATTGGAGCAGCTGAGTAGCTGCTTTAGGGATGTGGTCTGTTTCCCATATGTAAGAAGCAGCTTTGGGAATAGTCTCCAGCTTATGGTACACTTGGACCCTCCACGTAGCCGTGTCATACTTCAGCAGCCTGCCATGCTCTGCCAACCTTGGGACTTTCAATGGACTTGAATTAATGGCCTGCTGTGTGGTTTGGTAACATCTGGACTGTGCCATTTTATCTGTCGACCTTGGGCTTGTTAGCCTCAGCAGCCAGTAGCTGCCTGAGTGAAGAGATGCCTCTAGCTTCAGGGGACCAGGAGCAAGAGGCAGAGCTGAAGTCCAATGTCGAGGGGCTTTCACACAGCCCCTAGAGCCTGGCACTTTGAACTTGGACTTAAAGCCTCCAAACATAAGAGAATAAACTCCTGTTTGTTAAGACCATCCCAATTGTGGTATTTTCTTGTCAGAGCCAGAACAGAATATGGTACTGAGAGAGTAGGGTGCTGCTCTGACAGATACATAAAATGTGGAAACAGGAGTGTAGTGTGTCCTTGACCTGAGACCCTGGCAGAGACCCCCAGCATGAGGAATGAGAGACAGCAGGAGCAGAGCCCAGAGACCGGCATTAAACAGCAACAGGCTCACCAGCCCATGGAGGAGAAAGCTGGGTACCACTGGGTAGGCAGCTTCCTGGCGGAGGGAGTTGCTTTTAGGCATTAATTGGTAGAACAGTCTGACATGAAATGGAGTAGAAGGTTGGCCAGCCCACAGAGCAAGAAAGCTAAGTGTCCTTTGGGCAGCAAGAGATGCTGCCAGTAGCTGCCTGAGTGAAGAGATGCCTCTAGCTGCAATGGGCTGGGAACAAGAGGTAAAGCTGAAGCCCAAGGTCGAGGGGCTTTCACACAGCCACTAGAGCCTGGCACTTTGAACTTGAACTTAAAGCCTCCAAACTGTAAGAGAATAAACTCCTGTTTGTTAAGGCCATCCCATTTGTGGTATATTCCTGTCAGAGTGGCACTAGGTACCCAGAACATTCTGGTTGAGCCCATTGTTGCAGCCACAGTGTCAATCCATCTTGTTGAGAGTCGTCCTCTTTTTCTCTGACCCTCTACTTTACCAAGCATGATATCCTTCTCCAGAGACAGGTCCCTCTTAACAACATGACCACAGTAGGAGAGGAGAAGCCTCACCATCCTCTCTTCTAAGAAGCTTTCTGGCTGTATTTCATCCAAGACAGATTTATTCATTCCCCACCAATCCATGGTATATTCAATATTCTATGCCAAAACCACAATTCAAATGCATCAATTCTTTTTTGGTCTTTCTTATTCATTGTCCAGCTTTCATATGCATGTGAGGTGAATGTAAATATCATGGCTTGGGTCAGAAACACCTTAGTCTTCAAAGTGACATCTTTGCTTTTAGCACTTTAAAGAGGTCTTTGGTAGCAGATTTGCCCCATGCAATATGTCATCTGATTTCTTCACTACTGCTTCCACGGATGCTGATTGTAGATCCAAGTAAAATGAAATTCTTGACATCAATCTTTTCTCTATCATCATGTTGCCTATTGGTCCAATGATGAGGATTTTTATTTTCTTTATGTTGATGTGCAATCCATACTAAAGGCTGCAGTCTTTGATTGTTGAAGCAGTAAGTGCTTTGTCTTCTTCACTTTCAGCAAGCAAGGTAGTTTCATCTGTGTACCTCAGGCTGCAGGGATCCAGGTGAGGAGAGGAACTCAGGCATGCCCAAAGCAGCAGGACAGGAGAGTGGGAGAAAGGGGATAAAAAAGGCCAGGAACCCAGACAGAGGAGCAGTCAGCGCAGAGATCCAGGTGAGGAGAGGGAAATCAGGCACGCCCAAAGTAGCAGGGTGGGAGAGAGGGAGAAAGGGGATAAGAAATCCAGGAACCCTGACAGAGAAGCAGTCAGCCGCAGGGATCCAGGTGAGGAGAGGAAATCAGGCACGCCCAAAGCAGCAGGGTAGGAGAACAGGAGAAAGGGGATAAAAAAGCCAGGAACCCAGACAGAGGAGCAGTCAGCCACAGGGATCCAAGTGGGGGGAGGAACTCAGGCACGCCCAAAGCAGCAGTGCGGAAGAGCAGGAAAAAAGGGATTAAAAGCTAGGAACTCAGACAGAGGAGCAGTCAGTTGCAGGGATCCAGGTGAAGAAAGGAACTCAGACACGCCCAAATCAGCAGGGCGGGTGAGCGGGAGAAAGGGGATTAAAAGACCTAGGAATCTGAACAGAGGAGGAGTCAGCCACAGGGAACCAGGTAAGGGTGGTACGAGAGGTTTCCAACAGGGAGGCAAACTTGTCTGTCGGTTTGTACTACCGTGGTGACATGGTGATGTGATTTTTGAGGCTGAGCCACTGGTGTTTCTAACCCAGCGGGATGCATATGGTGCACACGTATCATCCCAGTTTACAGACTGAGCCAGACTAGGAAGAAGGAAGAGGCTGTCCACTTCTCAAATAATTGGCCAGGGAAAACCTTATGAATAGCAAAGAAACACTGTTTGATACATTACCATGCAACTTTATGGATAGTCTGGTTAGCTTAGAAGGCTCTCAAAATAGGACTGGGAAAGAGCTGCATCATCTGAGTAAACCCAGCCTTACTCCTATGGATAAGGTAAAGCTTTCGAGAACACCATTTGCTGATGTGGCACCACTCAAATTGAAGAGAAACAGCTGCAGACATCCATTAATCATCGGAACATGGAATGTATGAAGTATGAATCTAGGAAAATTGGAAGCTGTCAAAAAGGAAATGGAACGCATAAAGATTGACATCCTCGGCATTAGTGAGCTGAAATGGACTGGTTTTGGCCATTCTGAATCAGACAACCATGTGATCTACTATGCTGGGTATGACAGTCTGAAGAGGAATGGTGTGGCATTCATCATCACAAAGGATGTTTCAAGATCTGTCTTGAAGTACAATGCTGTCAGTGACAGGATAATAGCCATATGCCTACAAGGAAGACCCATTAATACGACTATTATTCAAATTTATGCACCAACTACCAAAGCCAAAGATGAGGAAATTGAAGAATTTTATCAACTTCTGCAGTCTGAAATTGACCGAACTTACTATCAGGAT